TAATATTGCAGCAGACTCCAGTACAAGACAGTGAAATGAAGTACATTAATGAAATGTTTCTTCTGGCTTCGGCGCAAAAACGGCTGCAAGTCAGACAGAAAAAGCTGCCAGCAGGGAATGAAGATCTTCCGAGGATTACGTAAATGTGGCATGTGATTTAGACGAGTATCTGCGAGTGCATGAATGCAGCATTAGATGATTACGCTGTCACTTAGAGCACATGAATTAGCCTACACCCTCTCCACTCTCAAAGCAGTTTTGCTAACCTTCTCCCCTCCATGTAAACACTGGTGGCCTCTGCCTCCAGTTACAAAGCCTTCAGAGAGTTCGAGCCGGTCAGAGGTCAGCGGGGTAACACTGAGGCCAATGACATTCTTTAAAATGAACACATTTTCTGGATTCGCGTTTAGTCTCATCCATTTTGGTCACCTTTAACACCTAAAAAACCAAAGACCTCATCTCAGTTGATTGAAGTTGACGGTTAATTGCCAAATAAGTATGTTTGGCAACTTCTAGTCTGTGGTTGGATTATGTAAACTGGTGCACTATTAGCTCTTGAATCGGAAATAGCACTGTGTCTTACACCTTCATCCTTTTTTGCAGACGACAACAGAATGTATTGATATATTGATTTACATTTTGTTTTTGCCTTTAATGGCACACCATTGTTATCTGAGGCTCGATACGCCTGGAACCAAGCCGCACACTTAGGACGAGGACCTTTAGGTTTGTCAATATCTTGTCAGACGTTCAGTGACAAAACAGGTCTTGGCATAAAACGGAACTGCTGCAAAAAAATTAGCTCAGATTCAGGTTTCAGGTATATGTACTACATCAAAAGTAGGACCTGCCAGAGTGACTGCAATGTGTCCCGTTGTGACTCTGACAATTTTGGCTGAAGGTATTGATTAATTTAGTGATTAGGTATTTCTTTTAATTGTATATTCTATCACATATACAAAAAAAATTGTATGAGAGTTCATTCCTGAACTTGAAAATAGTTGTTTGACAAAACATTCCTCCTTACTAGCTTTTTCTTCAGCCTTCAACTGTATCAGTGGATGGAGTTTGCTCATTAAATTGAGCTTATGGCTAAAAATTAGGGCTTAAAGAAAAATGAATTAAGGAATAGGATTTTAGCAAGCATTCGCTTTCTTGCCGAGAGTTAGATGACTAGGTTGATATACTGCTCTCATGTCTGTACATTATGCTAAAGATTCAATTAGACCCAGGAGACTGTTAGCTTAGCATAAAGACTTGAAAAAAAAGAAGAAACAACTAGCTTGGCTCTGTTCAAAGGTGACAATATCTGCCTACCAGCACCTGTAAAGCTCACTAATTAACATGTTGTATCTTGTTTGTTTAATCTGTGCAAGAACTGAAGTGTAAAAATAACAAGTTGTGGTTTTATGGGGGGTTATGTACCAGACTCTTTCCTTGGCCAGGCACTCCCTGTCTTGTCCTCACTGTGAGGTTGCCAGGCAACCAGTGGAGGCTCTGCTAAGCTAACTGGCTGCTGGTGGTGGGTTAATACAGCACACACACACCGGAGTGGTTCCCATCTTCTCGTTTAACTCTCAGCCAGGAGAGTTAAATGCGTATTTCCTGAAATATTGAACTTCTCCTTTGAACTTTTATGCTTTTTAATGCTATGTACGTTGGGTAAAATATTTCTCCATGACAACTAAGCAAACTCCATCTGCTGATAAAGACCATGTGATACGGATGAAAGTTCTGAAAAGATGTAGTAAGTGGACCAGGAGTCAGAATTGCTTTATCAGAGCCAAATAAATAAAGTAAAAAATGGCCATCACAAGTTCCCAAAGTGACTTCTTCAAATGTATGGATCCGTCCAACTAAAGTATGATAGTACAGCTATTTAAAACAGCGGAAAGGAGCCAATTCTTACATTTGAGACAGTGAAACCTGAAAATGTGTGATGTGTTTGCTTGATAAATCACTTAAACAATTAATAAATTTTTTTAAATTGCTAATTTTCTGCTGATCAGTTCTGGTTATCAGTTAATCCACTCATTTTAAGCTCTGCTGTAATTTATTAAAATGTCACTGAATAGAGGGCTGTTTAACACGTGGAGTCTGAAGTTTGAATGTTCACAGTTGTCACAGTAATTAAAAAATCTTTGTTAGCCGTCAGAGTCTAAGGAACCTATATTCACAGTAACATAATCATAGGAACAATCTGACTTAAGTGTACCACCAACCTCTAAATGTTCAAGAATGGTGTTTAAAATAGAGAAAGCCATTTATTCTAATCAAATGCATTGAATTTAAAGTCCATGTTATGAGAGTACAGGGTGCAAAC